AGAACATACTTAGGGAAATATTTGTAAGATGCACATTAAATGTGCACTTCCTTCTTGGAAACTAGCTGTATAAGCAAATAGTTTGCCTTTCTATGGGCTTATTTCCTGGTCATTTCTCAACCGATGTTTTCGCGGACTAAATGAAGAAATTTCAACTAGGTGGCCATATCAACGAACTAATACATCATGGTCGCTGCGTACATAGTATCATTTCAGTTGCCAGTACAGGAGCTAACACAACTGTCATGTGATGCGCCGTAAATTAGACGCATTCGTCGATCAATGGCAGGTGCTTACCCTTTCCTAGGCGCAGGCAATGCTTTGGGTCCTATTCACCTCTCCCCACTCACACGACGGGTCCTAACCCTCTGTCCGTCCGCACCAACGATTATCACCTGAACAGATAGACGGTCACTGGCTCTTATCATCTCCTATGCTCTCCACATCACACCTGTGTGGAAAAAAAAGATAAAGGGCACTCGATTTGTCCTGATACTCATATGTTTTAAGTGATCCCGTTGTCAGATAAACGTACTGGCTTGGAGAGATGGTATCGAAAGCAAAGGTACTTTTACTAGTTAGTCTTCTGGTTTTAGGTACGCTCGAAACCTCTCGATCAATATGTACCAAAACCTGTGATGTACAATCTAGAAGTAATGCGGTCAACTTCCAGGAGTGAAGGCCAATTTAATGGATTAGAAAAATGATTGCAACGAAGCCTTAGTTCACACAAACGAGCTTCAATTGGTATTATTAAACATCCAAGAACTATTCGGAAATATGTTTTGCGTAGTTTCGAGATCTAAGACCAGCAGGAGAGTCTGTGTGTCCTTTCGATAAATGTATATGATAAAGGAGTCAAAGATAAAGCGTGTACTAATCTGGTGAGAATTTACCGAAAGTGCATATATGCTGGTCAGCTAGTCTTCTGAATCCTTTCATAGGCATCTTTCTAACTCTAAAATACTTCCAATATATTAAATTTTGTTTTATTAAATAGCAGCTACAAGAGTGCTTATGTCGAAGCATCGTTTCCCGGGTACGCATTAAGACAAGCGTAGACAGCAGGATTTATTTGTACCAACAAATTTCGCGATGGCTGTTCAACTGCTACCCATCTTGAACAATGACCTCGCTGTTATATACTGATTTTTGTGTACATTTAAACTAATATGTACTTCCATCCATTATCTATGTCATGCAAAGACGGGTAGCAGTGGAAAAAACCGTCGCAAAATTTGATGGTACTAAAAAATCCTACTGTCTACGCTTGTTTTAAACGTATATATGTCAGATATGTTTTTTTACGAAATTTCACCTTCAATTCAATTATAATAAAATACATGAATAAGGACACAGAGAAGGGACACTGGGGTGACCGTTGGGATGATCATTAGATTGGGGGAGATATCCCATAAGCTCCGCGCTTGCCATAGTCGACGGTCAACTAACTGTAAGCAATTCTACAAGACCTTCCACTCTCTCACTCCCCTGACACGAACTATTCAAAATCTCCGCTGTCCTTTATTACTCCCTCCCCCCTTATTACCCTGTAGTGGTCCTTTCTGCCCGACGCCCACCTAACTCTTGACGTCACGGACAAGGTCACTCGGAGCAGGCCCTCGCGCGAATGTACTTTTCGGCCTGCCTCCGACCAGACACAAACTGGCGCATGAGACACTCCCCACCCACGCCAGTGTCTACCTTCGTGCGGTCCAACCAATCACCATC